AAAAAAAAAGAATATCAAAGACTATAATATCAAAAAAGAAAAAAAAACTATTAACACTTTTTACATCCTGTCCGGTTATAAAATCACAAAAAGAATTTCTTTACAAAATTACTTTTCAAGCTATTTGTTGAGTTTTGACCAGCAGATTCTGGTAAAATAACGGTTATTTAAATATCAAATTAGTAAAACGAATTAAGAATATATCTAGGAACAGATGCGTGTCCAAATTATTTTCTAGTCAACTAAATCTGTTTCATCAATACTGTCACGCCGAGTGCCTGGGACAGGGAACCCAGCAATTGTGTCGGGTTTCGGCCAATCGTAAATAGCATTAATTAATTCATCATACTCAGTATTGTACTGGTAGGCACGGATAAACTTTTCTAAGTCAACAGGTTTTGGATAAAGCCCTGCGATCTTCTTCTGTAATGAACAGGAATAAGAAGCGAATGGCAGAAGAAATTACTATGCATTTACATTCAGGATATTTAAGGATGCACAACGACGTAATCAAAAAAATATTAAATTATTAACAACCTCGTAGGCATATTCAGCAACCGCAACTGCAATTTGGACTGATATCTCTCGAATTTCTTGCAAACGTGGATATATACGACCTACACGTAGGTCTTTTTCTGTCACACAAGAAGCCACTTTCTACAATAAATATATTCAAAATTTATTTTTCTGAAAAAATATTTATAGGCGAACTGACGGAACAATACTTGACGACTAATCTACAGAACGAAGACCTTTGAAGCGATAAGAAACATAGCGCTGTCGATATGGCGGATTTGGAAAAGAATAACACCAAGGGCCACTCCAGGGAAAATATAAGCATTATTGCCTTGCCCGGGTTTATATATTTTTCCATTTAAATCTACATCTGCAAAGGGACTTCCACTTGCAAATAAAACCTTACCCTAAAAAGTAAAAATGGTTCAGAAACAACTTTCTTTAATGATTAATAAAGAGACGCAATATTAGAAATCATTAAAAGTTTACATCGGTGTAACGGAAGGCCTCCTCTGCTGTGCACTCCGATTTGCTCGTAGGATTGGATAAAGCAAAAATAACCGGCCTTTCATTGATTTTAGCCATAGTACGAATTATTTCTTCAGTAAATGCTCCCCGAGCTGTCGAAGCGCCAATAAGAATTCCGGGTTTTACTTTTTTGATAAGCTATAAAAAGTTCGAAAATAACCCTTACGACCAGACGAGAAAAATTTCTTCTGTTTACTTTAACAAGTAGATATGGGTCATAAAATACCTAAAAACAAAAAGGTAGTTTTTCCATATGTTAAGGGAAGAAGTTCATCTAGAAACGAAGGTGAATTGTACAGAACTTCAGGAACCTGAAGAAGATCTTTGGTTTCTGGCATGTCCTTGGCAAACAAACTATGACGAGCACCGTCCACCCTGTTCTTTGTTATCAAACCATCGATGTCCATCATATAAATGCGATCTGCTGCTTCGGCTTCCGTTATGCCTTCTGTCTGCATCTGCCTCACACACATTTCAGCAACGCCTGTGGCAGCCTGAAAAAGCAGTTCAAGAAGAAATACGAATAACTATTTAAGCAAATTATTCAAAGAGATGCTGAATGCAGCACAAGTTGTAAAGAATAAAAATAAACATTTATTACCCCTCCGGCACCGAGGAAAACAAATTTTTCTTGGGAAAGCGGTTTTTTTGTAACTCGGGTACAAGCCATAATTCCAGCAACAACAACGGATGCAGTGCCTATAAAAATAGAATGAACTAAGTCCTGTATAGTATAAAAATAAATTTTTCTTCTCTTCCATAAAAACCTCAAATTTATGCTTTGAGTGTGTAAAAAAACTTTTTTGGTTTACAAACCAAAATAATTTCAAATGATGGACTAAAATAGAAACCCTCCAACATCTTAAAAAACACCAGTAATTTTCAGAAAAATCAGATATCCTCGCCTTGAATGTCATCATTGAACATGGTATATTTATTCTGGAAACGATTTAAAAGTCGGTATGCATTTTGGTTGCCAAAATCTTCAAACTGAATTAATGTCTCCTGGCCAAACCTAAACAATTTTGATCAAAATATCATTGATTACCTAATAAAATGAAGAAGTGAAATTAAGAAGATACCGCTTTGTGCATGCTTTCATAAAATTATCGAGTAATGAGTCGTATTGCTCTCCGCGAACTCGTCTATGGCGAAGTCCAATATAGAACGGGTCATTAAGAAGTTCCTAAACAAAAAGTTCGGGGTTAAAGGCAGTTCCCTCTCAGTTAGGGTAAAAATGTTCACTCTCTCCTAAAGATGCAGGCTAGCTTCGAAGGTTCAAGACTTTTAAATTGAAAAGATATCTCTAATGAGGACTTTCGGTGGAACCCGAAAAAGTGTACCTCTTGCAAGAAACCATTCGGGGTTCATGGTTTTGATTGCAAGCAAAAGCACTTGACGAATTCTGGTAGCTTTATTGGTTTCTAACAATTTTTTCCCACTGGTTAAAAATTTTTAAGTTGCCTCACAAACACCAGTTAGTTGTCGATGTGTTTGCTCCCTGTTTCTATCTTATTCTTTTGCGTTTCCGATGTAGTACTTTGCACTGTCACACGAAAACATAAGCAAATCTGTTTACAACCTGTTTCTAATATTTTAACTGTATGAGCCATCAGAGAAACTAATTTCCAAGCACGGTTATTGAATATAACTTCCCTGCGGCTTACTTCATACAGGGATCGCAGCGGAAAAGAAGAATCATTTAGAGATTGTTAGTTTCTAGTTGCAATCTTCACTTCATTAAAGTCTCACAAAAACTGCATATCTTGCTCAACGGTAACTATTACTCGTCTCCACAAAGAAAGCATCGGAAAAAAAAAGCAGGGAAAAGTTCGACAAAAAGTTAATAAATAAATGCCGCTGTGCCATTTAGATGTAGGGAAACCACAGCACACGAAGTAAAGGTATAAAAGAATCCTATTAATTGAATGTTTAATTTGAATTTGAGAGAAGGAATTATTTGTCTAACCCAGATTTTGCTATATCTAATAATTTGCTCTATGGCGCTTGATTTTGGGCAGCAGCTTCGCAAGCATGTTAATTGGCAACCCAGCAATATGTAACACCTTGAGTAAGAAATTAAAAATCTTTTGTTGAAATCAGACCATAGTACTACCTCGTTATCTGTTCCTACATCCAGAAGAACAGGAAGGCACCATCTGGGTTGAATACCACCTAGTGCAACGTATAATGATAATTTTCCTACTGGGATTCCTATTCCATACGCACCAAGATCGCCCAAACCAAGAATGCGTTCTCCGTCAGTCACAACAATTGCCTAAACTAGCGAATTAGGATTGTTTGATGCTGAAAAACAACATGAAAGCGTAATGATTAATAATTATAAATGATCACTCTGATATCCGTCTCCGGCCAGTTGCACAGAATTTGGTGAATCTTACTAATACTGTTATCATTGATAGTAATATAGATCCCCCTAAAATAAATTTATAAATTTCAAGGAAATCTTTGCTTCTAAAATGCTAACAAGAAATTGCTATAGTAAATTAAACTCCCGAGGGAGAAAAAAGTGTAATAGTAAAATAATCCCATGTTTCTAAAATTGTGAGTTTGCCCAGCTGTTTAAGTAGGGGTTAACAATAACACAGTGAAACAAACACTAAAATTTAATAGATAGAATGTAACACTAGTAAACGAAAATTAGAACAGACACTCAGACCCAAGTCATTCTAGACAAGCTTAATTTGATTTTAACGATAGTCTAAAACGTTGCACCTCAACGTGCAAAGAGCAAATATCAAGAACTTTTGGTAAACAACCGTGAGTATGAAACCAGGTGCTCAAGTGTACGAGAACCGGCTTACGAATTGGAAGTAAGCGACTTTGTCAAAAGCAGATCTCAAAACTTCAAGTGTGGTTCATGCAAGATGATGAGTTTTGTATCTTGACCGCTGCCCTAATTTTTTTTAACTGTAACTACCGGTATTGAAAACAAGTAAAATTTTAAATTTTAAACTCCACAAATGTATTACTACAAAAATGAGGGGGAATTTATTTTAAAAAAATCGTATGCACATTTTGTGCAGAATTTCCTCAAGATCTGGGAACATACTTTGGATTTCGATAAATGTACCCGAAATTCTGACAAGCAAGACCAACAGTTGGAGTGTAAACGATTGGCATTAGTTCCTTCACGTGGTCGCAAAGCACCCGATAAAAGAGCTTCTCGTTACGATCCTCCAATTTAATAGGTCTACTAATTTCAATAACAAAAAGTTAAAAGCTCTAGATAAATCTGCAAAAATTTTCAATATACCTGTAAACCGTCAAGTTGTATATAACGTGCTAAATCATTGGGCTGTTCTCGAAGTTTGCAAATAACTCGATAAGCTTGTTGTTCCTGTGACATGAATGCTGGAGGAATTAAGCCATGAACGCCAAGATACTGACGCTCGTATAAGCTGAAGGCCATACCCTATAAAAGTTGGGACACTCTCGGTTTGGTGGCCACACCTTTTTTTGGACAATGAAACTAATAACACTAACTGTAATAAATGTGACTCTGTTTCATTTCAAACAATGAAGTCGATAGAACTACCAAACTGCAGGAAAGCCAAAAATATTTTTTTGAATTCATACTTTTAAGGAAAGAGTGAACAGCTGATAGAACAAAAATAATCCCATATAAATATCAAAAAAGTATTGAAGTTTAAAAATCAGATTAACATACTTTATTAAGCCCTGGGGTCTTTAGCAAGTCAACTGAACGTTTAGATGGTGTTATCCTTTCTGGGCGGTAAAGTTTATAAAGAGCCAACTCTTCTGAAGACATGTGGTGTACGTCAGGAGGGCTGTATAGATCGTCAGGGTACTGCAGAAGAGATGTGGTAGACAGTTGTCGAGTAAGCCTATAAAAACTCTTATTCCAAACAAAGATCAAGTTAGAAAAAGAGAAAACAAGCAAGTTGGCACATTTAACTTAATTAAACCAGCAGTACTGAAATTTACCACTGGAAATATTTAATTACAAAATAACGAAATAAGACAAAAAAAACGTTTTTCAATAAAAATTTTTGTAAACTGCGCAAAATATTGTTGCGACCTCCACAAAGGAAACAGAAACCACAATCAAAAAATAAATAAATAAATAAAATATTAGAGAAAAAACAAAAAAATAAATAAATAAATAAAAAACGTACTGCTTCAAAATGCATGTCGTCGACTGGACCGTCCTAGAAATACCTGTATGATTGCTCAGCATAACTATTAAGGTAGTAACCCTGAATCAAAGACAGATAGTAGACGTAACAAAAAACAACAGTTACAAAATGACGATATCTTTGCGCAGTAAACATGTAGAAATAAAGCAGCATTTTTTGATGTACAATTCAACTCGCTTATAATTTATAAAAAGAAATAGCATAAAAACAATAAAAAATATATATATA